TGAAGCATAGTGACAGCGACAGCGATAGCTGTCACACCGATTGTCAATAGAATAGCATTAATAAATAGTCAGTCTCTACATGGCACTCACTCATACCGCTCGTGTTTCATTCATACCCGTATACCACATGGCGACAAGCACGAAAGAACGTTAGCGTACACGGAAAAAATCGTAAAAAATCATAATCATCGGATGAAAGAAAATAAGCGAAAATAAATTTAATGAAGTTGAGATCTCAGACAAGAAGGGAATTAGCCGACGATTCGTCAAAATCCGGCAAGAAAAATAAAAAAAGTGCGATTAAAGAAAGGAAAGAAAAAATTAGTGCACGTGCAGAAGAAACACGGGGCGACGAAAAAAATAAGAAACAGAAAAAAGTATTGAGATTATTATTAACCAGAGTAACAACGGGCGACGTAACCGTGCATCAGATCACAATCGACGACATAAGAAAAGAAAGGGAGAAAAAATCGCGAAGAAAAATGACCGAGCACGTGAAAGCAGTGGAAGCATTGAAATTAGACGGCAATTTGGCCGAGAATTGGCGAAGATTCAAGCGTAATTACGACATTTTTGCGGTAGCCATCGGAATGGAGGATAAAAATGACCCGGTAAAAATCAACACATTTCTCAACGCAGTCGGCCCAGACGCGGTTGAAATTTACGACACATTCGATTTGACCGCTATTCAGAGAGCGCAATACACAGCAGTGACAGAAGCGTTTGCCACCTTCTGTGCAGCACACAAAAACACAGTCTACGAAAGGTACAATTTCTATCAGCGAAACCAAAAAGAAGGAGAATCTTTTGATTCATTTTTGATGGACATCAAAATCTTAGTGAAATCATGTGAGTTTAATGCCGCTACAAATGAAATGTTGAGAGATAGAATTGTCATGGGGGTCAGCGATAAAAAACTGCAAACGAAATTGTTGGAAACAGCCCATCTTACGTACGACGGAGCAGTCGACAAATGCAGAGCATCAGAGGCGACAAAAGAGCACACCGAAAAAATGTGTAAAACCAAAGAAGTGCACGAGTTAAAAACACAAACAATAGCGTACACACGAAACAGCAAAAACCACAACAACAAAAACATACAGAAGCAGAACGACAAACGAGCGACCACGTGGCACGGCAACACACAGAACGCACACAACACACAGTACCGTTCCAGCCGAAACAGCAGCAACAGCAACAACAACAGAAACGAGAACAAAAATGACTACGATCGAAACGGCTCCAATCATTCAAAGTGTAAACGATGTGGGTACAGTCACGACGTTAAAGGCAAATGCCCAGCACATGGAAAAACGTGCAATGTCTGTACTAAGCCCAACCATTTCGCAAGCGTGTGCAGATCGCGTCAAGTCGATTCCATTGCATTTGGCCTACCTAATGAATGCACACAAAAAGAATTTTACATTTCCGCAATTGAACGAAACGTGAGAAATGAGAACGGCGACGTATTTGGAACAAGGTGGATGGAAAGACTTCGAATTAACGGTCAAACAGTAGCATTCAAAATCGACACTGGTGCTGAAATGAATGTACTGCCATTACATGTTTTTCGTCGATTGATGTTTGGATCGAACGTGGAGTTGCAACCCACTGACATGACATTGAGAGCATTCGGAGGCGAACGAATCGTTCCAAAAGGTATGTGTTCTTTGCTTTGTTCCTTCAAAAATATTACTTTGAGAGTTGTTTTCGCAATTGTTGATCTTGATGTCACCCCTATACTTGGCTTGGCTACATGCACACGATTCAGAATCGTCAATCCACCGCACACACGCAACAACGTTGAGCGCATAAATCGATACAATTTATGACTCGAAACGATAAACAGAAACATTGACAAGTCTTACGTTATGAAACATTATGCCGAATTATTTGAGGGTCTAGGCACATTTGAAAATGAATATAAAATTTTGTTGAAAAAAGACGCACAACCTAGAAAAGTACCGCTCGCATTGAAAAGCAAATTGAAAATAAGATTAAGTGAATTAGAAAGGAATGGAATTATTGAAAAGGCCGATGAAAGAAGTGAATGGGTGCATCACTTAGTAACAGTAGAGAAGAAGGACCTCGAGAAATCATTGAGAATTTGTATCGATCCCTCTGAATTAAATAAGCAAATATTAGACGAACAATCATATATACCGACTTTTGAAGAGTTTTCAGCAAGTGTGAATGGCATGAAGTATTTTTCGGTATTGGATTTAAGAGACGGTTTCTGGCACGTACGTCTCGCCGAGGAATCAAAGAATTTATGCACTTTTGCCACCCCATTCGGCAATTATCGTTATATAAGAATGCCATTTGGCATTAAAACGGGGCCAAAAGTGTTTCAACGGCTAAATTTTGCAAATTTTGGCGACATAGAAAATGTCCATGTCTATTTCGATGACATATTTATAGTGGGCAAAACAAAACAGGAGCATGACGAGGCATTGATAAGAGTTCTAGAGAGAGCAAAAGAAAAAAACGTGAGATTTAATGAAAACAAAATGCAAATCGCAAGCGAGTCAGTGAAATATTTGGGCCACATATTTTCATTGAATAAAATTGAGCCAGATCCAGAAAGGTTAGAAGGAATTAGAAAAATGATAAGCCCGAAAAATAAAAAAGATTTGCAGACGTTTATGGGCGTGATAAATTTCATGAGGCCATTTATATCAAATTTATCACAAAAAGCAACGGTTCTGAGGGAACTATTAAAAAAGAATGTGTTATTTAGATGGACAGAGTTGCATACAAAAGTGTTCAATGACATTAAAAACGACATTTTAACGGCGAATATTTTGGTGCCTTTCGATTCATTGAAAGAAATAGTAATTCAGTGCGACGCATCACAAGACGGTTTGGGTTGTTGTTTAATGCAAAATGGCAAGCCAATCTCGTTCGCTTCACGAAGCCTATCACAAACAGAACAGAATTATTCTCAAATCGAAAAGGAAATGCTTTCGATTGTATTTGCATGAACAAAATTCAACTATTTCACATACGGCCGAAAAGTCCGTGTAGTAAACGACCATAAGCCGTTGTTAGGCATCATGCAAAAAGACATACATAAAATTGCTTCGGCAAAATTGCAACGCATGCGAATCAAAATGTTAAATTATGAGGTCAGTCTTGAATATGCACCTGGAAAGACAATACACTTAGCCGATTATTTGTCGAGATATATAGATAATTGCGATGACACAGAGGAAGATACAAACATTTCACATGCCATTTTGTCGATTAACGTAAGCGATGAGAGAAAGAGCGAGATGAAGAAAGAGACAGAAAAAGACGAAGTTTTAAGAAAGGTGAAAGAGTACTGTAAAGACGGTTGGCCCAATGAAAAGAAAAAATGCCCAGAGCCTCTCAGATATTTGTTTAGATTAAAAAACGACATAATTTTGGAAGACGATTTGCTATTTTATAATGAACGAGTCATTATACCAAAAGTCATGCGAAAATTTATACTGCAACAACTACATGAACCTCACTTCGGAATAACGAAAACAATCGAAAGAGCGAAAGCGTCTGTTTATTGGCCGAACATAAATAATGATATTGAACACATAACGACTCGATGTAGAATTTGCCAGGAAAATGCACCGAAAAAACGTAAAGAGCCAATGATACCGCATGAAATTCCAAATGGTCCATTCATAAAAATCGCATGTGATATCTTATATCACAAGGGGAAAGATTATTTGGTTGTTGTAGATTACTATTCGAAATGGATAGAATTGATAAAGTTGAGAGACAAAACAGCACGCACAACAAATCTCGAGTTAATTAAAATCTTTGCACAATTTGGTTATCCACGTATTATCATTGCGGATAATATGCCGTTTGGATCGTTCGAAAGTAAAGAATTCACGAGAGAAAATGATGTAGAAATAATTAATAGTTCCCCGAATTACGCACAGTCAAATGGCATGGCCGAGCGAATGGTGCAAATTTGTAAACACATTCTCAAAAAATCGAGCTCGGAGCATGACATTTACAAGTCGTTGCTCGCATACAGAACAACGCCAACAAAATACATGAATTATACTCCGGCCCAATTAATGCAAAATCGTAACTTGAGATCGAACATTCCGATGCATGTAAATAAATTTAAGCCACAAATTTGTGTTGACGTCGAGAAACAGCATGAAAGAAAACAAACAAACTCAAAGAGGTATTATGACATAGGAGCGAGACAACGAGCACCCTTCGAACCGAATGAAAAGGTTCTTTTCATTAACAATAATAAATGGCAGCATGGAATAATCATTAAAGCCTGTGCTGAACCACGTTCGTATCTAATTCAATCAAACGATCGACTGTATCGCAGGAACAGTAACCACATAAAGAAATTTTTTGAAGACAAAACAATAACAAATAATGATAACCGCGATACTTTCCAGAAGCCTCAATATCAGAAGGTCACACGAAGTGGCCGACGATATTAGCATTAAGATTTTTTTTTCTTCTTTTGAAAACAAAAATAAAAAAGAAACACATTTGTTTGTTGTTTCTCACTTGAAGGATGAAATTAAACAAAATAAAGAAAAAAAAAACAATTTCATCCTCTGATTCCAACTAAAAGAAATATAATAAAGATTTTTTTTTTTGTTTCAGGATGAAATTAAATAGATTAAGAATAAATTAAATAAAGAATAAAATAAATTTCATTCTAAAAAAAAAAGGGGGAGATGAAGCATAGTGACAGCGACAGCGATAGCTGTCACACCGATTGTCAA